TCTCTGGGGCTCCTCATGAGGCCAAGACTTGGATGGCTTGCTGCTTAATCCTGAGTAGCTCCAGTACGTGTAGCAGCAAAGCTCACCCCACACTGCTCACCAAAAATCCACAGCCCTCCTCATCCCTTAAGATGCCTCCAGCCTGTGGACCTCGCTGGGTGCCCCACCACCACCATCCACACCCAGGTTTTTGGCACCATCACAGCAAATCCCCCCTTAACCCCCTCCCTATTTATATATAGCATATATATGCTATATATACTCAATAAAACCTGCATTGAAACCAAGACAAACCACTTGCTTTGGTAACAGAAAGCTGTCTTTCTATACAGCCCATCGCTCCTGCTCCAACACCGGAGGGCCACCTTGTCCTGGGAATGCTTTTCTGAGGTGCCCATCTCCACAGATTCAAACCAACCTGACCCCTTTTGACCTCTGTTTCTGAGCAGAGAGGGGTGTTTGATTGATATGGGGTGTTCCTTGATTAGGAAATACATCCTTCACCATCAATGCATCCCACTACAGTCATCTATCAACCTCACTGTCTTTCCATTCAGGGAAGGTAGGACAGGGAGCCTGTGGGGTCTTTGCCTACCTATCATTCTTGGATGTCTGTCAACCTGTCCATCAGCCCCTCCCTGGCTGGCACACGCCATGCCACCTCCTTGCCACAATCATTCATCAAACCATTATTTACCCCATCCAAGGGCACCCACTGGCACCAGGGACCCCTCACTCGGCTGATGTCCCTTCTTGTCCCCTTCCCTTGCAGTTGCTCCTAAGGGCCCGAAGATCACGATGACCCCAACAAGAGCCCGCGTCGGAGACACCGTGCGGATCTTGGTGCAGGGCTTCCAGGTCAGCATCCCCATCACCGTGGGATGATGTCATGCCAACGGACAGCCTTGCATCTGCACCAGCACTTGATGGGGTTGGGTTGGTGGCCTTGGGTTGCGTCCTGGTCCTTACTTTGGTGCACCCCTGGGCATTTCGGCTGTACCCCGTCCTTGCACCAGGTGCAAGACAAGGTTTGCTCACCCATCTCACAGCTCCTCATCTCCCCACAGAATGAAGTCTTCCCTGAGCCCCTCTTCACCTGGACGCGGGTGGGGAGCCGGCTCCTCGACGGCAGTGCCGAGCATGACGGCAAGGAACTGGTGCTGGAGAGGGTGCCAGCTGAACTCAACGGCTCCATGTACCGCTGCACCGCTCAGAACCCCCTGGGCTCCACCGACACCCACACCCGACTCATTGTTTTTGGTATGGTGGCACCGTGGGGGTCACCCCTCCCTCCATAAATCCTCACTCATCTCCTCATCCCCAGTAAAACTGTCTCTACTATTTCTTTCCCATTAGAAAACCCAAATATTCCCAGAGGAACAGAGGACTCCAATGGTGAGTGGCACCGGTATTTTGATCTGAACCCCCCACCAGAGAGGGAAGGACCATGCAGAAGTCATCCCACCTTGCATTGTCCCACGTCCCTGCCCATCTCCCCGTGCATGGCCCCAAGCCATCCCTTGGCAGCAGGGATGTCCTGGCACTCAAAGAGGCCCCGTGGGTGCTCCCTGCAGCATCCCTGACCTGCTGCCCACCCCACTCCATAGCAAGTTTAGGAGGAGGGTCCCTTCCCAAAAAAAGGTGGTGACCCCATCCTGCTTTGAACCCCAGCGGCAAGACACGGCTCCCTAAACTCCCCATCCCTTTTCTCCTCTTGTCTAGGTTCACTTACCGGCCACCGCGGCTTCAGACTAGTTTTGGCACTCACCCTAACAGTGATCCTGGAGCTAACGTGAAACTTCGCCTGCCTCTTCCTCCTCCTCCTCCTCTGTACGGCTCCACCTGGCATTTACACCTCCGTCAATTGGTTCTCTCGCGCTCTCTTTTTTTTTTTTTCTATACTCTTCACAGTCTCGGTCTCTTTCTGTCTGTGTCTTGGCTTCCTCAGACAATTTAATTAAAAGGAAAAAGAAAAATCTCCCCTGGTAGAAGCCTGTGCTTAATGTTTTGCCATGTGCTGGGGTACCCAGAACCATTCTGGGGTACCCAGAAGTTTACAAGGTGGGGGGGGGGTGTCTGTTATACCAGGGCCAGATTTCCCCTGGAAAAATCTATTTATACCATTCCCACTGCACTGAGCTGCTCCGGGTCAGGGGTAGGGACCATGCGTGACCCCAGCAGGAGGGATGTTGAGGACGAGTCCTACACACGGATGGCAGCACTGGGAGCCTGGAAGCTGCAGATCACTGGTTTTATATACCCTGGGACCTTGGCTGGGGCAAATGAGCTTTGCTGGAAGATGGGAGCCGTGCACAACACTCGTCCCAGCCCGGATGGTCAATCTCTAGTGACAGGCAGCTCCCAGCCCAAAATGTCAGCGCTCACAGATGAGCAGGCAGCGTGTGTCCCATCAGGCAGCTCCGGCACAGAGGCACCAGCCGACTTTATAGCCCTGTGCCCATGTTTGGTCCATGCCACCATCCCCCTTGGCTAACTGTCACCATGGAAACAGATAACGGTGCAGCATTAGGCCATTCCTACGGTACCCCATAACGCTGGGCACATCCCGATACGGTGTTAATCCTGCTGCAGGACAGCTCTTTGCAAAAACCAGGTGGTTCTGCCCCAATTCTGCCCAGTGCAGGGTGGTTTGCCTGGCTGCTTTCCCTCCCCACGGTGCACTGAGAGCACCCGGCTCTGGGCCAGGATCCCTGGGGAGCAGATGAAGGAGGGAGAGGAGCCCAAGGACGGGGCACTCCCCTGCCTTTTCCTCTGGGAACTCTTAATCCTAGAGGATTAGCCAGCAGCCGTACAGCGCTTCATCCTTCCCAAGCCCCGCACGAGTGCTAAGCATTATTATTACTATTATGATTAATTATTATTAAGCAGATTCAGTCCTTACCATGCTCCATTGCCAACCTCGCTGCGAGCGATTTGCCAGCCTCAGAGGAGCCGAACAAACACGCGTCGGCTCAGGAGTTTCTTCCTGTACACAATAATTCGGGCTGGCAGCGGCGCAGGGACAGGCTGGGGCGGGCATGGAGGAGGATCAGCAGCTCTGCTTTCATCCCAAAGCAACAGCATCCAAGCATCCAGATCCCTTTGGGCCACCTACCTGAATCTCTCTGCTTCCTTCCCAACCACTTTCACCCCTCCAGCCCCTTGCACCTCCCTAAACAAGAAGGGAACCTTCATTTTTTAGGGAAATCTTTACCTTTTAGGGGAGCCTTTGTTTTGAGGGGAAATCTGTGTGATTCTGTTTATTCCCATGCTATGGAGCAGACAGGAGAGCTCCCCCCACCACGGCACGGATGCTTCTCACCCTCCTTAGATTGGAGATGCTCCAGGGGCCTCATCCCAACGTGATTAAACAACCATTAGGCCTTCTCGCTTGGAAAAATCGGGATTTACAGACGCACAAACCTCCGTTTAAATGCAAATGTGGCGATTTTGGCCCAGAAGGATGGAAACGAGGAGGAGCATTAGAGAGGCAGCGCCACCGTCAACCGACTGTCCTTGGTGCGATTCCAAGAGCGACACGACCTCCCCATCCAACTGCTGGTGGGCTCAGAGGTCCCGCATCCCAAATCCACCCTTTTCCGTGCTTTCGGGATGCTTAGCTCGCTCTCACGGAGATGGATCAAGCTATAGGATGGGACTTTCTCAGCACCAGCGCGGCCGAAGCGATGACTGATGGGACGTGGGAGTCTTTCCTCCTTTTGGGTAGAGATGCTGCCTGCTTTCCCAAAGCGTCCCCAAGGAGAGGGACACGGAGATGCCACCCCACCAAAGCAGTGATCCAAACCTCCCACACCGTGCTGGACCCTGCCTTCACCTCCTGCCCTTCTCCACCTACCAGCCCTGCCTCCCCATCTCCACCCACCTTCCCACAGGGAATTACCAAGGACATCAATTAAATCCCTGGCTCCCCCTACCACACACCCCGTTGTTTGAGGACCTGGCAGTGAATAATGCAGGAGGCTGGAGGGGGAAAGAGCTGCTCAGGTTGTTTCATTATTGATGAGAGATGACAGATCCGCGGCTGACAACCTGCCTAAGAGATACGATTAGCTTGTAAAAAATTAATCGCGCTTCTTAGGGATGACGCGAGCTGAAAACCCCAAGGAGCGACGTTATCGATGTTCCCTAATTTCAGGGGACTTTGAAAGGGTTTTAGCAAAATTTGGAAGAGGCAATTACATTCAATTAGAGTCACAAGTGCCGAGATGTCACCACTGCTCAGAGATGCCACGGCCGAGTCCCCTGCTCCCCTACGCTGCTGCTCACCCTTTCTGCGAGGCGTAGATAAATAAATATATATATATAGAAATACACACTGATACACTGGACCTGCGTTTTTGCTACGGGGATCCTCCTTCCTGACATCATCCCTCGCAGCTCGAGCTCGGCAGCGTGGCCCTGCTTCCCCCCACCCTGCAGCAGCACCCGGAGAACGCTGCCTGCCAAAAACGCCATCACCAGCCCCTGTGCTTTCCCAAGGTCCCTAAAACCCCGCCGATGACAAGGATAACCCCGGATAACCGCGCTCATCCTGGCACGCCCCCGGAGTCGGGGTTTTGCCAGCCCAGCCCTGCATCTCTCCAGAATGCAGCACATCCAAGCCCCCAGCCCTTTAGGGTATTGGGGTAAAGAGGCTCAAAACCAGGGATGCTCCAGCTCAATAGGGCTGGGAATGCCTGCGGGAGCGACGGTGGGATTAGCTTGGTGCTTCTCCTGCCTCCCCCACCTCATTACCGGGCATGGTTACTGCCGTGGCCAGGTTCACGGGGCCACCGAGTGCATGCATAATTCATACTTCCCAGCTCAGGAACGAAAGGATCTTTGCAGATCTACCTGCAGATTAAAAACCGCGGCAGGGAGAGATGGAGAAACCCAGGGTCACGGCCACGCAGGGTGGCCAGACCCTTTGCCAATTAGCCAAGCCCCAAAAAACACGTGCCCAGCCTCCATGCACATCCCTATTCCTCCAGCTTCAGGACCCTCCAGGTTTGCGGGCAGGAAGGATACACATCCCCCAAGATTTTGGCCAGACCAAGCCCCCAGCAATGGATTTTGGGTCCCCGTAGGATGGAGGGAAGCAGCTGGGTGGGTTTTGGCTGGCTGCTGACCCAAGCTTGACGTGCAGCCGAGCAGGATGGATCAGTCCAGCTTTTAATCTAAATATCCTCCTTCCCCCAGCTTCTTCATTGCTGGACTTCCCTGTGCTGTGCCCATACAATCCTGAACACCCCCCTAAAAGCCACTGGTGGGCTCTCCCCATTCACAGCAGCGATGCACAGGGGGTCTCCGACTCCTAAGCCGGCATGGGGGTTTACACCTCTGCTTCCTTTCCCTCCTCTTTCTCTCCATAGATATAAACATTACGCTATTTAGCACGTGGTCCTCCACCTAAGGAGCGTGCCTGGCAAGTCCAGCAGCAGATATGCAACCACCCCCATGTCCATCGACACCCCCACAGTCCCCGCATGAAGCCCTGGGGCGGAAAGCAGCGTCTCGGCATCAGCAGAGGGGTCTCCGCAGCGCTTGCAGATGCTGGAAATAGCGGAAAATGCACCCCAAGATGGTTTGGTTGCTCCCCCCCAGCCGCAAAAGGTCGTTCCTGAGCTCGTGCGATGGCTGGTGGAGATCAGCTGCTGCATGGAACGCAGCGTGGGAGGCTGCGGATGTTGGGTGTGAGCTCACGAGCACCCTCCACCCATAAGTTGGGACCCCTCACACCTCATACAAGGAATTGTTTTAGCATCCCCTGGGTTAATTTCTCCAGCAAATCCCTAGGGATCGGGATCAGACTGGTGGGGAGCGAGTCCCTGCAAACAGACAGGAGCAGCCACCCACCCCCAGCCACGTTTTGGCTGTTTCTTTGCCACCTCGTAGAGCCTCGGATTTTTTTATGCATCTCTCAGCATGCAAGATGTTCCCCTCGGGGAAAAGGAAATTAATTTTATCCCTTTGAATTCAGCTCGCTTAGTGGCGGTTGCAGAGGAATGCCATTCCCTAGGCCCCCTCCTCTCCCCCGCCCGACACAGTCCAAAGCATGGGGACCCGGCTGCCTCAGGGACGATGGGGAACAACAAGTCCCCTAAATCTTTGAAATTCAGATCAGAACCAGACACATCACCAACATATTTCCAGAGGGAGAAGGAAGCAAGCATCACGCTGTCTGGTTTCTCTGTGCCTCGGTTTCCCCACAGCGACTCCAATCCCTGCAGACACCCCACACGCAGCGGCACATTGCTTCGACACCACTCACACCTCTCCCATCCCAAATGTCTTCCCGGTCCCAATGCTTTTGTTCACTTCCCTTAGTTCATCCCTCTCCCCGCGCACGTGGATGCAGGTCTCTGAACGCAGCAGCCGCCGGCTGGGGTTTCACTCCTGCCTTTATTTGCTCTTCAGCGCTGGATTTTTCCCCCTCCCGCAGCCCTCAGCACCTCTGCCACCAGCTCTTAATTCCCCTGCCGTATCCAGTCTGGCCTCAAAGAGACCCCCAAGCAGCTTTCCGGCTATTTCCCCGTCACCCTTTGTCAGCCAGCGTGCTGCCAACGAAGGTTACGGAATTAGTCACCCGCCTCTGCCACGGCGCGGCTGCTCGGCATCGGACCAAAGGTCTGCCCTGCATCAAGCTGCTTCTCCCTCCCTTCCCCACTCCTGCACCCAGGCATGAGGGACCTTTCCCAGATGAAACAAGTTATCTTGCCTTCCCCGCTCCTTTTAAAATCAGAAATGTGGAGGCAGCCCCGTTGGGCTGCTCAGAGGAGATTTTTCCTCCCTTTGGGCTTCCTTTTGCTTTTCTCGGAGCCTCTCTGTTTACCAGGCTAATAAAGCTGGCTCCGTGACGCTCTCCACCTTTTCCCGGGAGCCCAGCCCAGCCCAGCCCAAACACGCAAAGCTCATCCGGAAACCTCCTGCCGGCTTTGCCCCGCTCAAAGTCACCTTGCCCCCAAACCTTCAGCTCCACGCTCCGGGTTCACTCGGCAATCATTAATCGGCTTCTCTGCATTCCCGGCATGGAAAAATGCCCCAGCGCGTAACCCTGCCCTGGCAGTCCGACATGCAGCTGGCCGGCAAGCTGGTCCTCTCCGCCGCCGCCCTGCTCCTCCTGACGTTGGCGTACAGGTTTTATAAGTCCCGCTCGCTTGTTGGGGCCAAAATCCCACCGTCCGACGCGGGAGGAGAGCAGAGGGAAAACGCTGACCAGGATGGGGATGGCGAGGTGGGTCTGCGAAGGAGGAGGGTGTTTGGTGAGGAGGCGAGGAGGGACGGTGGGGATGGACAAGCGAGCGGGCAAGCGAGCGACCCTGGGACGCTGCGCGCGCCTCTCCGGGGGGATCCAAGTCTGCCAAGGGGGGAGAAGGAGGAGAAGGAAGGAGGGGAGATGGTTTCTGAATGGGGGGTGACTCACAGCAGAGCGAGGATGGCCAGGAGGAAAAGTGGGCTGGGAAGTGAGCTAGGAAGCAGGCTAGGAAATAAGCTGGGAAGCAAGCTGGGAAGTGAGCTGGAAAGTGAGATGGGAAGCAAGCTAGGAAGCGAGCCGGAAAGTGCGATGGGAAGTACGCTAGGCAGCGAGCCAGAAAATGAGCTGGGAAGTAAGCTAGGAAGCGAGCCAGAAAATGAGCTGGGAAGTAAGTCTGGAAGCAAGCTGGCAAACAAACTAGGAAGCAAGCTGGGAAATGAGCCAGGAAGTGGTCCAGGAAGTGAGTCTGGAATTAAGCTGGCAAGCCATCCAGAAAGTGAGCCAGGATGCAAGCCAGGAAGCAAGACAGGAAGCGAGCTGGGAAGCAAACTAGAAAGCAAGCCAGAAAGTGAGCTGAGGAGCAAGCTGGGAAGTGATCCTGGAAGCAAGCTGGGAAGGAAGCTGGGAAGCGAGTCAGGAAGCGAGCTGAGCTCTTATGACCCTGGTGACATAGCCGAAACACCGAGCTGCCAGGGGGAGAAGGGCACGCTTGTCCCAAGCAGCGAGCTTTCTCCTGGGATTGCTAATGCCCAGATGGTAGGTGACGGATGCCCCCAAAGCATGGAGCAGGATTTGGCCGGCAGAAGCATGAGCCAGGAGGCTGAGGGGCACAGGGGGAGAATCCAGACCCTCAGTGTCACCTCAGACCTGGGGCTGACAATGACGGTGAGCAGCGCGGCGTCGGATGCTTCCTACTCTTTCTCATCGGTCGCAAAGATCCAGGTGGAGGAGAACTATATTGCCAAGTGGCAGGCAAAGGACAGGGATGGGCAGCCGGTCCCCGGCCTCAAAGGCAAAGTCTATGACTACTACGCCCAGTCCATCTCCCAGTCGGTGTTGAAGAAGAAGTCTCTCCCCTGCATCCCTCTGGGAACATCCCAGCGCCACAGCTTGGAGAAGGTCAATGAAGAGCTGCAGAGCTTTGCAACCCAGGACCCAGGCCCACCTCCAGCAACACAGGATCCCACCACCTCCATAGTTCTACCACCTATGGGGAGCTTGGAGATCTCCCCTGAGTCACCATCTCCTGGCCGTAAGGACAGCATCCTCCAGATTGCCGACAGCCCCCACCTCCAGCTGCCCATGGAGGGTTTTGGGGTCATAGCGCCAGCTGGCACCCCACCTGCAAACCCCCAGTCAGGGCTGGTGGCCAGTGCTGACCTCTGCCAAATGCCATCACCCACCCACCTAGACCTGGGGAACTGCTACGAGGTCCTCCGCATGGCCAAGGCACAGAAGCTCAGCCATCTCCAGCAGGCCGCCTACAAGGTGATGAGCGACAACTACCTGCGGGTGCTGAGGACACCCTCCATCTACAGCCGCCTCAACGCCAGCGAGCGGGAGCTCATCCTGCAGCGGAGGATGAAAGGGAAGATGTACGTGGCTGTGGCAGACGTCAACGTGCAGGAGCCCGGCCTAAACACCAGCCGCCTCTGCTTGACAGAGGGGACTGCTGGCATCACCTCTGCTACGTGCCGCCAGAGGTGGTCTCCCGGGGGTGCGCCACGTGCAGCATGTTCAACTATCTCTTCGTGGTGGCCGGCTGCGTGGGCACAGGCTGGACGCAGAGACCCTCCAACCGCGTCTTCTGCTATGACCCCTTGACCAACATCTGGGGGGAGATCAGTCCCCTGAACCAAGCACGGCCACACTGCAAGCTGGTGGCCTTGGACGGCCACCTCTACGCCATCGGCGGCACCGTGGAGCGCTACGACCCGCGGCAGGACCGTTGGACCTTCACCGCCCCCCTGCCCCACAACACCTTCGCCGTGGCCCACACGGCCACGGTGTGCGACGGGGAGATCTATGTGACGGGGGGCACCTTGCGCTACGTTCTGCTGCGTTACATCGCCCGCTCGGACACCTGGACGGTCAGCCCAGCCGGCGGCAGCAAGAACAGAACGGCCGAGATGGTGAGCACCAATGGTTTCCTCTACCGCTTTGACCTCCGCCGCAGCACGGGCATCGAGGTCTACCGCTGCAGCGCCAAGGCCAAGCTGTGGTACGAGTGTGCCACCTACACCGTGCCCAACCCATCCAGCTTCCAGTGCGCTGTCGTGGGCAGCCTGATCCACTGTGTCGGCTGGCACTTCCACGTACGCCTCTTGGCCGACCACATCTCGCCACGCTTCGGGACCAAGGAGCTGCAACCCTTCCCATCACCCCGCGGCAGCCTCCTCCCCGCCGTCCTGGTTCTCCCAGAGGGAAGGACAGCACAAACGCAGGTTTGAGGAGTCCATGCTGGGGTCTCCTGCGACAGTGGTGGTGGCCCAGATGTGATGTGGGGTGAAAGCCGGTAGAAGAAGCCACCAGCCCACACTGGACCACGTAACCCAGGGCCAACACTACCCGGGCAACGTTACCCATTCCTACCATCCGGCAGGCATCACACCAGTCCCCGTAAGGAAGGAAAAAGACAAATTATCCTTGGATACTGCCAGTTAACCCAGCCTTGAAGACACAAGGAAGAGCAAAGCAGGAGCTGGGTGGACTCATTTGCTTAGAGGTATTTAAACATAGGTGTGCTTGCTTAGATGCAAATAACCCGGGGCTCGCTGCCGGCTCCCAGCTGGGCACTGCCCGATAAGTAGCTGCTTCACACACCAAGCGTTTAATATTGACCTGCACACGCAACACGCAGGAAATTTTAGGGAAGAGGGAACACAGCAGAGAACTTTGATCCCTAAGGAGGTATCACCCAAAGGTCATCCTTATCGGCATCAAGCCAACATTGAGCTTCCAGGCTTGACCGCACGCATCACCCCAGGGTTGGAGGCTGGGGGCCAGAGGGGCACTGCTCCTACCAGTGCCTTGTTATCTGTTACCTTATTCTCAGCACAGGATAATATATATATATTTATACGCACGCAATGTAAATAGGCTCTATAGATTTATAGACAGCTGGTCTTAAATAAAATTAAAGCGAACATTTGGTAAAATTAACCACGGGCTACTGTTGTGCATCATTTCAAGCCGTAGCCAAGCCTAATGGGAACAAAGAGGCCGATGCATGTTTTACATCGCTAATTACTGCACAAACAACGTCTCTGAGGAGACAACCGAAAGCAAAGCAGGGCCCTGGATGTGAGCAGCCAGTCTTTCATCCCCTTTTCCCCAGGTTTCACCGACCTCACTCTGCTACCTCCATGTCCTGCCAAAAGCTTACTTTGGGTAATTGCATTTTTTTCTCCTCTAGCCGTTAGAGAAATGGCTCGTCATCCGTCATCTGTCAGCCCCGGACGGGCAAAAACAGCTCCCCAGATGGACAAAACCCTCCTGTACCTGCCTTCTTGGTGTCAGCAGGTCATAAGCACAAAGCCATGGATGCACTTGGAGCTGAGAGATGGTGCTGGAGAAGCCCATGGTATCACTGGTTACACCTTGCTACTCATAGTGGTTTAGGAGAGCTTAGGTTAATGTTCTCTTAAAGTGCTCCCCAAAGTATTTATTACTTCCCTTGGTCACTGCCTGAAGGCCTCGTGTTTCTGCCTTCAAGGGCTTCCGACGAAGGTCAGTGACATCCACCCGTGCTAGGAGACCTTGGGAGGCTGCGTTAGCTAACCCTGCCTCTGAGGTTTGCTCGTTAGCTGTAGCACATTGCGGCTGCTGGTGGAGGGTGGGTGATGTACCCTCTCCCTGTGCTAAAAGCTGCCACAGTCCAGCCTCTTTCATCTGCCCTGGGGCCACCTCTTTCTACCCTAGGAGGGCCACCCCAGCGATGATGTGCTGGGGCTGCAGCCTCCTGTATCCCAGCATATCTCCGCTGGGATGTCTGGGCTGGTAAACCTTGTGAATCAAAAATCCCTCGATTATTGTCATTATTTGTCTCTGCTATTTAGCTACCAGCATAGTTGGTGCTCAGAGCAACAAGCTTGACAAGATGAGCTCACGTATGCTGCAACACATCTCTGCTTCTCCCCCGGCAAAACGCAGGTACCAGCTGCTTCACCGAAGCACCATCCCGGCTCCTTTGCAGCCTGCAAAAGCCCCTTGTCCCCGTCAGCATCCCTGCTTCGTGTCCTTCGGCACCCCTGCACAGCAGGCTGGGTGCTGGAGCAGAGGACGCGCTGGCTGGGTGGGAGCCGGACAGCTGGAGCCCTTCCAGGTGACAAACATTTTTTCCATCCCCAGAAAAACATTCCTGGGATCCTGCCCTTCTCATGGTACCTCTTTGCTTCCGCTTGATATTTCACCTTTCCTTTAACTCTTTGCTGCCAAGCTGCAACCTCAAAACGCAGCAGCTTTCCCTCATTCCCCAGCGTGACGGGGAGAGATGAATAGCAATGACGGAGGGTGGGCAGCTCTCCCCCCGCTCCCGCACTCTCCAATATTAACAGGATTCGCCTGGGGAGGCATTTCGGAGATTAAAAGCGCTGGGGACATCCCGTGCCAGAGCACTGCTTGTTCTGCAGGGAAGGACAACCAGGTTTGGAGAAAAAAGTGTGCAGTGATAGGGTGGGTGGTGGTGAAATGACTTCTGGTGGTGGTTAAGGGAAAGCAAAAGGACAAATGCAAACTGATGCTCGGACACGGATAATGTGTTTTCACTCCCAAATACCTGTGCATGGGAGGAGCCTTTGGAGTACTGGCAGGCACGGTGGCAATGACAGCAACACTACCTGACTCCTGCCACCACTGCCCTGTCCCGGCTGTTGATTTCCAACATTGCCAGACACCCACCTCCATGTTTCTGCTGATGGGCAGTGGCTCCAAACTGCGGGTTTGCAGCTCTCAAGATAACCGTAAGACCATCAAGCAGTTTCAGTGCAGCCTGTGGCATTGGGTTATTATTTATTTTTGTTGATCGTATCGGCAAAGCTGCCACAATTTACAGGGAAAAGGGTTGGGAGGCACTCCAATAAAACTCCACAGCATGCCCCACGGAGCTACAAACCACCCCAAGCAAGTTCAAGTAACAATAAATACTTAGAGGTTGTAATAAACCCAGCCTGGCTGGGGGTTTACCTGGGGGTGCTGCTCTTAGGAGCCTTTTCCCTTGCTGCAAGACTGGTCGCTGCAAGCCAGGACCCTCACTGGGTCAGAGACCACCAGCACTAGGTGCTGGAAGAGAAAACACGGACGACCACCATGCTTGTGAGAGCTGGGAAAACCAAATTTCCGCTGTGCACAAGCAATTCTTCCATCCCTATAATTCCCCAAAGAGTACCACTAAGTATGTTCTCAGCTCCTTCACCTTTACACCAGCACCTGGACCCATCTGGGCTCCCCTCTGCCTGGTTTATCCCCCAAAAGAAAGGCGCAACTGCTAAAACACGCTGCTTTGCAGCCAAATATAACCTTTGCACTAAACTCAGTATTTTCTTCTAATCAGGAGACCCATTATCTACCCCCGCCACGTTTATTTAGGCAATTACATAGTTTAATGTACATTGATTCAGATTCTTAATTTTTACATTTTTGATTATGGTAAAAAAACAGGGAATGACGCATTTCTTATTTGCTCAGCGCTCTTCCCCCCCCCGCCCTTTGCAATGTGCCAGGCTGCATGCGAATGGAAATTGGAAGTCAATTAAAGAAGTGCAAAACCAGCATTTTAAAATCTTTTTTATGAGTTAAATACGACTACCTTCAATGTGTCAGGTAGAGCAGGATGGGGGGAAAAAAAAAAAAAAGAGAAAAACCACAACCCAAAAGCAAAAAAGTGAACTTATCCAGACATGTTTTGCATTTAAAACCAATGCGATACATGAAAGAAATATTAAGCGTAGCAAACTGACAAATTAAGTATCTTGTTCCTGACAAGCGGGAGCAAACTCGTGTCAGTGGTTGAGGAGCCGGGTGGGAATTTAAAGCCAGGGGAAGACCAATGGCAGCATCTCTCGATGCTGGAAAGGGAGGTGGGACCTCTCAACCACCTGTTGTGATTTCTCCTAGACCCTGTGGTGAGTTGCCTACAGCAACATCTGCGCTGGCATCAGGAGAGCCTCCATGAGATGTTTGATACCAAGGAGAGGCGTCCTGTACTCTCCCACTCTTTTCTTCACCCTTCCCATACCCAATCCAAGCTGGACACCCACACACAGCCACCAGCAACCCTTTGGTAGAGCAGATCCTGGAGGCACCAACGTCAACCTTCCTCAGCTTTGAGTTGCAACCAGGGACAACCCGGTTGCGTAGACAAGGAGCTACGCCCAAACTTCATAACCTCAAGCAGACGCTAACGAAGCGGGGCCCAACGCAACACCATCGCTTGGTATGACCCAGACCCGCTTGCATCGGTGCCAAAGGGACGTTTCTTGGCGACATCCGCAAGGCACCGGGAACGTCAGCCGGCTCCTTGCGAGCGCGGAGAGGTCAGCGCTAATGAAAGATGCTATCGCAGAGCCGGCGGCCAGCCAGACAAGCGTAATTAGCGGTATTTACAGAGAACAAACCTTGGCGAGGATGGGGGGGATGGGAACACATCCCCTTGTGATCATTTTGGGGAAAAAACACAGCCATTTGGAGGCCTTCCAAGCTAGAATAACAGCCTCGCCAATGACTATTTAATTAAAACCCGCGCGGCGTTCGAAGGGAGAAGGGCTGCGAGTGAATAAGCGCGGTGATAAAATATGCATCGACTCCGGCATAAGTTCTCCCTCCCCAGCACAAGCCTTTGCTTAAACCGTTGATGGTTTTTGATTCACAAGCTCCAGCGAGGAGGGAACATTTGCCAGCCACTATTTCAATCCCGCCGGGAGTTTTTCCGGAGGTTATAGCCACGCTGTAGTTTAGGATGTGTCACTTCTGGCATCATAAACACAGATCAGAAACGCTATAAAAGGAGGAAAAAAAAACTCAAAACCACACTCCTGGATGGAGATTAGCATCCTGCGAGCTTGGGCTAAAGGCAAATTATTTCTCTGTTACTGAAATAAAATCAATAAAGCTCATTTTTATTTACAGAAGAGCCAAAGAGGGGAAGAAGAGAAAACTCCTCAAGCTGCAGAAAGGGGATGGGGTGCTCATGGTTTTCACTTGATTTTCAACCAAAACCACAAGGCACTGAGCTCTGATCTCAGGGCAAATAGCAGTGGTTGGGCTCTCCCTCAGCTACTTTTCATGGACTTTATTGAAAATATCCCCAGATCTCTTAGAGATGCCAACCCTGGGGCAAAACCCCCAAGGTGACCTGGGGAGATGCTATCTCTCAAGAAGCTACGATCTAGCTAAATAAAACCAGGTTTATTATTGTATCAGCTATTTTGGTTCATTGCTCTCGTAGAACACA